CAATATTTCTATCTGCTGAATGTAAGCTTTTCCATATTCCAAGCTTGCCTGCTGCACTGGGGACATCACATGCCTGTGCGAGTCGTGAAAATTATGAAAATAAATCTAGGAATTATTGGATTGTTGGATTTCAAATCAGTAGGGGTTGAGGCATAAAAAGTAACTAAGTAACTAGCTGTTTTATGGATGGTAACTAATATTATTACTGAAATCTTATTAGTAATTAGTTACACTACTAGTTACTGCAAAAAGTAACATTATTACAGTAACTAGTTACTGCCCAACACTGCTCATGATAGAACTGAATTTTTGATCCAATAAATGCAGCCTTGGTGAGTGAGACTTCTTTCAAAAATATTAAGACATTTTATTTACTCCAGACTTACAAATGGTAGTGTATACACAAGGAATTCTCAGGAGCACTGTTATTCTAACAGATATTTGCTTATTAGTTAATTTTCAATTTTATTATTTTGTCTCAATGTTTTTGTGGATAAGGGTGTTGAATTAAAACTGTTCACTGTTGAATTAGTATCATATGATCATGAGTTGATTGATAGTTATTAGTCAACATTGCTCGCTCAGTGTTGTAAATAAATATATGTTACAAGCTGGAGTGTGAAATGCCCTGAGTCTTGGTTTCACATTTTAGCTGAACGTTCTGGCTTAGTTGATTTTGTTGAAGTGTATATATTGACAGCAAGCCAGATATGAAGTGCTGAATTTAAATCTAATCCCTCATAATGTAATCTTCTGTCGTGTGTGTGTGTGTGTGTGTGTATTTCCCCCAGAGTGATCCAAAGACCTTGCTGAAATGTCTGACAATGTGTGCCGAGTTGTTCAAGCAAATGAACATCAAGAGAGGAATCTGCCCTACCATGAATGCTCTGATTGAGTCACTGGTACAAAACACATTTATTCAATTCAAGTTTATTTGTATAGCGCTTTTCTCGATACAAATCTATAAAAGCACTCACATCAGTACCGATTTCCTGCTATTCTGCGGTGTAGGACAAGCGTGTGTCTGCATAGCACTTTTATCACAAGTCAATTTGGTTACTGGATTCTCAACACAAAATCAGTGCAGTGCTTAATTAGAGCTGCAGTTATGGGAATATAACTTCAAAGTGATCTCTCCATTCTAGATACTGCCAGGTGTGTCCAACCCTAACCCTGCTGTGCGCAACATGGCTGTCATCTGTTTGGGAACTGCTGCCCTCCACAGTAAAGACCTCGCCAACACACACCTTGTGCTGCTCTTGCAGGTATTTATAACACACTTGTTATAAAGATGAATGAATTCACTTTGTCCTAGTGGCTCAGAGGTTTATTTTTATTTGTATGTTTAGATCACACAGCTAGATGAGCCTAAAATCAGGATCAGTGCTCTCCGAGCTCTCATCGACCAGCTCCTGCTCAATGGCCTCAACATCCTGCAAGACAAGCCTGCTCCTGTCTCCCAAGACGACAGTAATGGGCAGCCTGAACATCAAGCTGAGGAGGAGGGTACCATTCAGAGCATCCTGAAGATGCTCTCAGAATTCCTTGATAGTGAGGTACTGCATATCCATTATATTATTGGTTATACTATATTGGAACTTTGCCATCACTAGTAAACCTGATAGTTCTTGCCAAACCCTACAGCTAAAAATATCAATCATCATTGTATGCCTATCCTGTTGTAATAAATTGACACCAGGGCAAAAAAGTGACAGTTTTGTGCATGTCCAATTGGAATGGAATTGACAGTAGGGCTGAACGATTAATTGCATTTGCGATAATATCGCGATATGAAAAAACGCGGAGGCTGCGATTACACTCTGTCACGTGACACGTGAGAGTAAAGAGGTGTGTTCGACATCAAAGTACGGCGAGAGAAAGCATAAGGAGACGTCCGCTCTCTTATAGCTCTCGCAGTACTTTGATGACACACACCGATAGGTCTAAGCAGTGCTGCTTCAAGTCGAGCACATCTAAGCAGTCTTCAGAGGAAGCATCAAGTTGGCATGCTACAGTGTTGCCAAGTCCGCGGTTTGGGGAACCCCTCCAAAAAATGTGTATTTTACCCCCTGGAACGTGATTTTTACCGGTGGACCCCCCCTCGAAACGCGATTGGGCTAGTTTTGAGTAGCAATTGGGCGGGTTTTGTTGTGAAACCCTGGCACCCTACACGCGGAAATGTTTGAAAGCGTATATATGAACAGTGTTGGGAGTAACGCATTACAAAAGTAACAATATTACAGTAGTATATTACTTTTTGCTGTAACGCAGTAATATAACGCATTACTAATTTCTCTTTCTCCTCTGAGCTTCCCACCATCCAAACATTGACCAGAAACAATGAGTCTAAACCCAGCAGACAGCAGAGCTGTCAGTTCAGCAAATCCACGCATGACCGAACACCAGCTAGAAACCAGAAACCCATCCATACACCTTCATATATGCAACAATTATAGACTACAGTGAGACTTGACAGACTCATCCTACCGCATTCTATCAGTCGTGTTTATTATGGAAGCTTGGATAAAAAAAACTTTAAAAGATAATTACAAATGAAAAAGATAATTACTTTCTTTCCTCATAATTCAGAATTACGAGATATAAACCCAGAATTGTGAGATAAATTCAGAATTGCAAGACAAATATTTAGAATTGTGAGATTTTTAAGACAAACTCAGGATTGTGGGATTTTACAAGATATAAACTCAGAACAGCGAGTCTATTAACTCAGTCCGAATTGTGTCAGAATTGTAGGATATAAACTCACAATTGACCCTTCGCTGGGAGTTTGATTGACAGGCGATCTGACCATTCATAACACCAAATCTGCCATTTCGTTCAACAAACAAACCAGACAGGAGAGTAGATTAACGTCAGTGGACTTGAACTTGAAAAACGGTGTATTGACGTCTTTCTGCAGTTGAAACAAGTTACCTTCTGATGTTCATTCATGTTTATTTCATGCTATAACCAGTGTTGCCAAGTCTGCGGTTTTCCCGAGGAATTGGGCTACTTAACGCTGTTGCCGTGGGTTGTTTTTCATGTCCGCGGGTTGAAGCAACTCCAATAACATGATATTTATCCCCTGGAATGCGAATTTTAGCAGGGGAGCCCCGGCAAAAAAATTTGTATTTTACCCCCTGGAACGTGATTTTTACCGGTGGACCCCCCCTCGAAACGCGATTGGGCTAGTTTTGAGTAGCAATTGGGCGGGTTTTGTTGTGAAACCCTGGCACCCTACACGCGGAAATGTTTGAAAGCGTATATATGAACAGTGTTGGGAGTAACGCATTACAAAAGTAACAATATTACAGTAGTATATTACTTTTTGCTGTAACGCAGTAATATAACGCATTACTAATCAAATTTGGGTAATATTATTACTCGGTACAATCTCAGTAACGCAAGTTACAACAACATATTTTAATTCAAAATTAAGTGCTGAAATGACCAACACTGCAAAACAGTAGTAGAGAATAAATTCCGCGGGTAAAATAGTCTGTTTCCTGTTGCTGTAATTTGATGGTTGAGATGACTGCAGAGACGGATTCTACATTTGTGAGACGGACACACTTTCAGTTCATCAGAGAGAAGGACAAAATGCATAGTAAGGTGCAATCTATGTGCAATACCGAACTCAACATGGAGAAATAGCACGAGTAACTGAAGAAACACCTGGACTGGTGCCACTGACACAAAGCTAACGGAGAGAGCTGCAGGGTCGGAGAAGAGATGCGGCAGACTAGTATTTTATCTTCCCGCTGTTTGATCGCGCCGGTGCCTCACGCACACACAATACAGCACTGCAAACATTGCAGCCTGTTCATTATCAGAATAAAATAGGCTATATTCAACTAAACATATAGCTACAATGCTTAATTTAAATAGTCTGTCGTACAATCCGTGCCGTGCAGCCTCCAGCTCGGGCAAAGTACATAATTTTCTCATGTGATGAGAATGTTTTGTTTTTTGCGGAAAGCGCATTAAATACAAAGCTTGTTTTATTCAAATACATCGCGAATATGGAAACATATGGATTCGTGCCGAATGAGAGAGCTGCGTAAGAACAGAGCCGTTTGCCGTCAATTTCTCTTTAAATTCGTTTTGGCTTTTTTAGCAACGTATATTTTTCATTCTTGTTCTGTTCTGAATACCGTTAAATTTGGATTTGTTGTGGAGTGAGGAGAACTAAAATCGCCTATAGGCTAGCTATTGTGTTTACTGTTTGTTCATTACAACATTCCGCTTTATTAACCGGTATCATTTCTGAATGATGCGGTTTGTGCTTATCCCGATAGCACACTGCATCACAGAGACGTCTATTTGACATCTGCAAGATGTATTTTTTTTTTTTAGAGTGTTTGCTCATCTGCAATACATCTATAGGATGTTTCCTGTTAGATGTCAAATAGATGTTTAGAAAATGTCTTTAAAGTGAACCTGATATGAAAGTTGCAGTCTTTTCTTCCTAGTGGTGACACTGCCATTCAAAAATGTAGGATCAGTAAGATTTTTATTGTTTTTCTTTTTTTTAAGACACTTCTGCTCATCTAGGCTGCATTTATTTGATAAAAAATACAGTGAAAACCGTAATATTGTGAAATTATTTGTTGAAAATAAAGGTTTTTTAATTTAATATACTTTAAAATGTAATTTATTTCTGTGATCAAAACTGAATTTTCAGCATCATTACTCCAGTCTTCAGTGTCACATTATTCTTCAGAAATCATTCTAATATGATGATTTATTAAAATAGAAGTCTTTTGTAACGGTACACTACGGTTTAAAAGTTTGGGGTCAGTTTTTTTTTTTTGAAAGAAATTAATTTTATTCAGCAAGGATTTGTTAAATTGATAATATGATAGTATTTTGAATAAATGCTGTTCTTTTTAACTTTGTTCATCAAAGAATCCTGGAAAAAAGTATCTCAGGTTCCCAAAAAATATATTAAGCAGCAATAATTGTTTCCAACAATAATAAATCAGCATATCAGAATGATTTCTGAAACATCTTGAGACACTGAAGATTTGGAGTATTGATGCTGAAAATTCAGCTTGGCATTACAAGAAAACTTTTTTTTTTTTTTTTAATGTATATTTTGAACGGCAGTATATATATATATATATATGTATGTGTGTGTGTGTGTGTGTGAAACTGCTTTTCGAACAAGGAGGGACTTGATTTATTGTCCATCAGGAATTGATTGGATTATTTGTTATCGTAGAATTGAAACTTGTCTGGATATATGACAACTGTATTATCAGGGAAGAGACGTTGCAACCTTCAATTAAAAAAAAAAATACACAAAAATTGTTGATTTTGCTGTTTAAAAAAAAAAAAAAGCCTCGTGAGACAACTGTTAATGCCCTTTTCATTGGTCTTGAACCTTATTTTGTTAAAAAAAATGAAGAGAGAATCCTATCATGAAATCAGTATCATAAATTGTATCGCATTGTGAGTTGAGTGAATCGTTACATCCCTACTATCCCTTTAATGAATTAGTTGTGTTTGTTCATGCTGCCATTAACATTAATGACTATTGTAACGGCACAGATGTTTAGAGTTGTCCCTGTAATTGTTGTACACCAGAACAAATCAAGAGTGTGTGGAGGAGAGTTTTCTTCCAACCTTGAGAACTCTGTTCAACGCTCCTGTGACATCTCCATTGTCTGAGGTAGACGCATCCAACGTGGCTGAACTGTTTGTTGAACTAACTCGACCCAGCGCTCTTGTGAAGCCTGCTGCCGTACAGGTACGCTTGAATACACACGCACGCTTATAAAAAAAATAATAATAATAACAGCAATGGGTTTTGTTCAAAGCACTTTAAAGTGTTGATATTTTGTAAATGACCAAAACTCTTTTGCAGGCCGTGTCTGTGCATGACTCCCTGGCAGTGCGTGTCTGTAATGAAATCTTGCGAGACATTTCTGCTCCCGAGGTGCGCGTCTACTGTAAAACTCTCAGCTGGCTGGAGATTAACTCTGAACCTGGACCGGCTAACAGTGAATTGCAACTCCTGTTAAAAGACATTTTACAGGTACTCTTTTGTGAACTTATGGTTGGAGAGCCACACTGGGTAAAAGCAAAGAACAGCAGATTAAGCAGAAATGGATAAGAAATTAATGAAATATCCCGTCCGATTAGATAGAATAGCATTATGGTAAGCAGTTATGATCATAGTGACATTGATCTCGTGTGTGTTACAGGAAGTGAAAGATAAGCACTGTATAAGGATTATTGAGAAGCTTTGTAACCAACTAAATGGAGATAGTTGTTCCAAATCAGCCGGTAACCAGGACACAACTTTGCAGAACTTGGATGACAACAATGGAGGTACTAGCTAGCAAACTAACACGCATTTTACCAGCCTTTATTACCAGGCCCAGAAATGTATCAGGGCTGAGAGCAAAAACCTGTTCCCTTGGTGAATAATATATGTATATTAGTATTGTTTTATTTATTCACCTAACATTGTTTTTAGATCTATATAGTGTAGTATGTATATTCAGAGGCGAGTGTTGGTGGAGCCTTACTATGAAGTGGTTTTAAAGCGATGGGGGTATCATTTTGATAACCGTTCAGATTCATAATTCTCAGTTGATTCAATTACAATGTTATTTTAAAAATATGTAATTTTTCATAATTATAATTTAATATTATTATTAATTTGTAATAACATTTATAATTGTTCAGATTCATTATTCTCAATTGACTGAATTATAAAGTATTTGACATAAGTAGTACACTGTGTATTTATGTAGTAAGAACAAAATCTACTCGTAGAGGTAAAAACACTCTTTGAAATCTATTCCCGGGGCAAATATTGCCCATTAATAGTTCGTTTCTGTCATTGATAGTTGATTTTCTCATAGGTTGAGTTATGGGAAAGGAAGTGGTTTTCTTTTACCTGTAGTATTCAAAGTATCTGTTACATTAACAAACCTATCTGTGCATCCTTGCAGAGGTGAACAAAGATGAGACTAAAGCTAAACGTGCAAAAAGAGGTACAATTATTTTTAATTTGATCAAATGCTACGAGTAGGGCTGCACGATAAATCTAAATGGAATCGAGATCGCGATTCGACAGAAGCTGCAATTGTCATGCGTGTCTTTCAGTGAAGCACGGTTCTGTGATCAGCAGTAAATCTCCATCCAAAGGCCAGAGGGCACTCTCGCGCTGAAACTCCAAATATGCCTCGCAGAAGAAACCCAGAAAATGCCTATCGCTGCAGCTGAATAAACAGAAGATTCAACTGCTTTCATTAATTCAACGTGACTAATAAACACACGACTACGGCAATATACGGTTAATCTTGGTTCTTATTATTATAATTTTTATTAAAATAAAGTATATTTATAATGCAATGCCTTTATCACTGCTTAAATACTATGATATATGTTGCGTGCCTTATTCTGTGTAAGAAGCCACGTCATCTCAGAGAAGGATTTATTTCAAACACTCGACTGACGTTATGAAGTGAGTTTGGAGTAAAAACATGTTATTAAATGTGGTATGTTCACATGCTTTCAGATGGAGCAGCATTTACTTCACAGAGCCGTAGTTCACTGAGAAGCTATGCAAACAGCTGTCATTATCGCGAACGATTTCTCCGATTTCATAATCGCGCAATAAAATCGTCTGCGATTTTGTTTGTTTTTTGCGTAACTTGTCAGTGAACTACGGCTGTGTAGTAAATTCTGCTCCATCTGAAAGCACGTGATGATGATTTCCTGCTGATTACAGAACCGGCATTACTATCAAAATGCGCATGACAATCGCATTCGATTAATCGCGCAGCCCTAGCTACGAGTGAATCTTTTTCTTTGCTTGCTTGGCGTGGCTTATATGATTGTTGTATTATCTTTCACACTGTTGTGTTTCAGGCCAGAAAAAAGCTTCCACTGCAAAGAATGGCAAGAAAGCCAGTAAAGCGGAGTTGTCCTCTGATGAAAGGTTGGCTTGTTCCACATCTTAACGAATGGTTTTGTTTTTAACTTCAAATGTAAATGTTTCCTTTTGTAGGTCGCTTATCTTTTGCTTGCATTCTAATCATTCTATAGCGACGACGAGAATGTTCCTGAAGAGCCTCCATCAGTAAGACCAAGTCGCCGTGCCAAGATGGCTGCTGTAGATAAAACAAAGCAGGATCTGACTGCCCTTATGAACCAGGAGGCCAATGGTTCTTAGAGTGGATTACTCTTTAAGAAGGTCCGCTTTCGCCTATTACATCCTACAGTTCCCTCGGATGTATCCGAGAGATTACATTGATACATTTTAATGCAGTCTAGTCTAATTATTTAGTCCAACTATTTACAGTGTCAACCTGGGTTAAGGGCTTGATTGTCAAAATGAATGTTTTTGTTAAAATGCATCATCTGCAGTAATTCTCCAAAGGTTGTCTTTGGGTAGGAGTCACTTCAACATTCATTTATTTACTCGAAGCTGTTGTTTTAAATGCGTGTGAGCTAGTGGGACAAACTGTTCCCTTATTTTTGCCATTTTCTATTTTAAGATTCTAGTATGAACAGTTGGCTTGTCAATAATAGCTAATATTTTAAAGTGAAAAAATTACTTTGATTTGTATGCATTTTTCTGTCTAAATAAAAATGTTTAAACCTGTAACACAGTTACTCTAAAAGTGTTTGCAAGAGCTTTTATTGTTCTAACGATTGAGACCGCTTCTTTGAAGGCAAGTATAAAAACAGAAAATACAATACAATGTGTACATAATTTGTATGTTTATGTACAACATATAGCACCGGGTAACAAGGTTACAGTGGCCAAAACTTCAAAATGGCATATTTGAACATAAGACAATACACAGAAGGCCTCCTGAATGATTCTCATAACAAGCTTCATCTCCAGCATTTGGTTGGCATAGGTATAAAGATATAATGCACCATTTTTGTCTGTACTTTTGCCACTTTATGTTGGCACTGGGCATGTAGATGTAACTAAAGGGAGTTTTTCAGCAGTTTCAGAAATATTTCTCTAGCTGACAAGCACCCAGACACAATGGTTTAAATCGAATAGAATAAACTAGGTGGGAAATGAACATACAATTTCTCAAAAAATATGCCTCTAAAGTGGTTTGTGTGTTGCACTGGCTAAACTTGTATTTCACAGCTGCAAGCCAGTCTTGTTACAGAGAGCCTAAATGAACTAAGATGACCTCAACAAAACCTAATGCTGATGATACATGGGGCAACTTTTTGAGCAATGTTGCCGTCAACGGGCAACCAGATGAGAAACAAGGCCCATGACCGATCTAAAGTATCCAGATAGACATGTTACCCATTTTCAATGGGAAAGTGCCCAAGCAGCACTGCTCAAAAAATGTTGCCCCGTGTATCATCAGCCTAAGGCCATAGCAGGGCAACTTTAACTTTCTACATATTCAGGGGGGCAGAGCCACAGATTGGTAACAAACATCAGATGGGAACTAGAGCTAACAACACAGCATTTAAATAGATACTAAACATACAGGCTGTATAACCAGTTAGAATGTTTTTGGTAGAGGCCTAAATGAATGACATGGTTACAACAATGGGTTTTATCAGTTCAGACCAAACTACCATGCCTTGCCAGTAGATTTCAGGAGGTAGGCGTCACATACTGCAATAGATCAGAAATTAAAGTTTGCACAACTAAAGTTCTTGTATAGAAGAAACGATGTGTAAAACATATTTGCCTCTGGATCATCTTAAAAGCTTTTAATTTAAAAAAAGAAAAGAAAAATATAATCTTACATCTTTAAATGTAAAACATTGCACCAAAAATACGCTGTACATTACAACAATGGTTTAAGTCAGAAATGAGAAAATGAAACAGGTAGCTAGTTTGGGTTTGGTAGTGCAAAGAGAACATAAAGCTGGATGTAAATTAATGCTTAAATGATTTTCAACAACTTGGCAGAGAGTAAATTCACAGGAGTTGTAAGAAAGGTTTCCATAAATACAGGACTAGAGGACACTTAGATAAATTGATACCAAAAAAAAAAAAAGTGGAGACACTACTATAATTTTCTAATTTCAGAATGCATTGCTAGTACTTTTTAAGTGGGCAGTTTCTGTACGGAACATTAACAGTACATAAGACTTGATTTTAAACAAATTCCCAACTTGACATTGTTAAAAAAAATAAAATAAAATAAAATCCTATTTAAAGAGCTCTTACAACGCCAAAGTTTATAAAATGTAAAGAAATGTGAAATTAACTTGTCTTTTCCAGAATTATATAAACGTTTGCCTTGAAGTTGAACTCTTATGAGACTCCAAAGTCACAGGTTAGGCAAATCAAACAATATACTGCTCTTGTAACCTTTGGTACTCCTTCATGTAACTAGATCTTCTCTTGCTCTGCACCAAAAAAAAATTTCAAGGGAGATTTTAAAAGCTACATAAAACATTTTACAAACATAAAAACACAAATTAAGTTTAAATAGTGCAAAAAGTGTCTTAAAGTTGTTTGTATTTTTTTGTTTTTGCTACATGACGCTTGCATGTCAAAATGCTTGTGATACTTAGCCAGACCCCTGATGAAAGGCACCTTATGTTAGAGTTCAAGAAAATGCCTTGCCCAAAACTGGTTCCATGTTATTTCAATGACCCTGTAAAGCAAAAATTGGAGACGTAGATTTGAGTTCTCAAAGAGAGTACTGTCTATAAACATGGCATGCTCCGTTTTAAAACTTTTATCCGACTCGAGTGATATTGCTCATATATATATATATATATACACACACACACACACGTGAAACCACCTACACTTCTAGAATCAATACAAAGTAAACACTACAAAGGAAAAAAACCTAACTGTTCACTCTAATATATAAAAAAATAAAATTCTTTACGGAAGCCAGAAACATACTTTATGCCAGTATGCAGACAGGAGTGCATGCTCAACACAACAATCAGGTTAAACATACTTGACATGCACTGTTGCATCGGTCTGGCAGTAACAAACCTCAGTACTACTGTGTCAGAATGAGTTACATTCAATTATCTTGACATTAAACTGGATTGGTTATTATGCAGTTAAGTATATCTTGGAAAGATTTGCTTTACACTTTTTTCTGCCATGGTCCTCAAAACAGAGCGTTTATAGCTAGATCATGTTTGCGTACTTGCATAGAGTATGTTTCAGGCATAACAAAAAATTATGCTAAAAGATGACTTACCGAGCACAAAGTCACACCACCTCGCTCCCAGGACACCCCTGCTGCTCCTTGATTGTCTGATCATTTTTGTTGGGGGAGATGGACTTGTGCTGCCACTTTTCCGTTTGCCTCTTTTTCTACCATTCTTGCTCTGGCTTTTTGGGGATGAGGGCAGCTGTACTGGAGAGTTACCTGTACTGGGAGGTGTCACTCTCAACGTAACATCCTCATTCTCCTCTTGCTCCGAGACATCATAGAGCTTTACTGTGCAAATGTTACATTCCTCTGTCAGTGACTTTGTGTTTGGGGAGTTGATCTTTTTCAGAAACACCCTGCACTCCTTTAGGGACTCTGGACTCCAAGCTTTGGAGCTGATTCTGTTCTGCTTTGAAATATTGGCAATCCCAATCATTTTCTGAGGAGTTTTGACTAGAAGTTTTAATGCATTTTGAACTTTCATGACTGGTCTGGATGTCTTGTCTACCAAGTTCAATAATTCTAGAGTCTTAGCACCTGAAGTCATTGTCCTCATCTGGTCACGAAAACATTTGTGTGCCACATCGCCTCCTAATGTTATGCTAGGCCTGGTTTTAAACTTTAGCCTCGCTCTAAGCAGAGCTGTTCTGTAGACAACCCATGTCCTTCTAGACATAGAGATTTGCTGCCTAACATCATGCCTTGGTTTAAATGATGACGTATTAAAAAGTTTTCTCTTGGCTTGTGACCTTGTTGACTTGGACAGCATTTCTTGTGCTTGCTTGTGCATTGACGGACTCTTTGGGACGACTTTAGCAAATTTCTTGACATGTTTCCTGAGTCTCTCTGCTTGTGGACTTGGGCAAACATTCACTTTGCAATTGGGTCTGCTGAGGTTGTAGTGAAAGACGTCCTTGGGATTTCTTTCAGTGGTCTTCTTTACAATCGCAAGGGACTGAGTTTCCGTGGACTGCATAAACCAAGTACAGAGCTTCTCCATATTATAGTTTTTCTCAAAAAGCATTTTGATGGCAGAAGCAGACTTCTTAGCAGAACCATCGAGCTTCTCACAAGGTTTTGGTTTAAGATCGGTTTTAATCTCTCCTGACTTGTTAGCCTCCAGGACATCTGATACCCAAGTGTTGGACATTAGCCTGATCCTCCTAGCCAACTCTCCATTTAAAGTTTCAGGTGATGCTGAGGTGGGCCACCACCTGAAGTCCTCATTCGATGAAAAAATCGAGTCCACCGAAACAGCAGAAAAATGAACAGTGTCTTGTATCTGACTGACATTCTTGGTCTTTATGGAAAGTGCATTTTTTGGGAGCTCCTCTCGTCTGTTCTTTGTATTCTGGCTGGCCTCACAGCTAACCTTATTCAGCAGTAGTTTTCGTGACCTGCGAACCAATGCGCAGGATCTGGCAGTAGCGACAGAGTGGAGCAAATGAATGGAGGGTTTCCGCTCTCTAACCGAATGCCTCACCGGTATGAACTTCCCTCTGGTATTCTGGTTATGTTCTTTCGGTGCAGCCACTGTATCCTTGTGAATGTCAGTAGGAATGCCGATTGTCTTCTGCTCTTTGGAAGGTTGAAATTCAACTCGAAGGGCATTTCTGAGCAGATGTAAATCTTTTGTGTCCCTTTTTATATGTATCTTCCTTTGCCTTGGTGACCCTGTTGTGACAGTGACCGAGATCCCAGAAATTTTGACTTTGGGAGGTCTTCCTGGTTTTCTTGACACTGCTGTGTCACTCTGTCTTTGACATTTGATGTTGCTGCTAGAATAGATGCATTTCCTGTCTTCAATAGGCATAACAAAATGGAGATCTTTGGTCATTTGATCATTACTACTCGCCTTTCCAGAACATGTTTTACTGTACGTGCCACCATTTAATACTTCATAAACATGCTGCTGTGCTGGGAAATTACTCAGATCTTCAGAAACTACTCTTTTTGCCCTTCTTGATCTTCCATACATTATAGTGATTTTTAGATTTTTGTTTCCATCATCCTTACAAGACATTTCTTCAGTTGTTCGACTTACTGCACTGGAACCGGAACCGGTTGTACCAGTTGAAGAACTTACATCAGTTGTTTTGGGTTTTGGAGGTCTGCCAATGGGACGTTTCACAGACTTCTCAATATGCGGTCCTATTTTTTTGGGGCGACCAGGACGCCGTTTTACTGGAGTTGTTTGATGTACACCTGGTAGTGTTTCTCGGATTTCACCTTCATTGCTTGAACAACCGGGCAATAATGCATCAAGTGAAAGCACTTTCGGTGAAGTGCACTTGTTCCCACCACGCTCAACAGTTCTCCCTGGAGAAGATTCAAGGACAGAATCGTGGAAATGTTCGTCTATGGCACTGCCTGCCCATGAGGATTCCATACATGGATCAAACATCTCTCCATGGGAATTTGAGCTAGAGGCAGCTGCTTTGAGAGTATAT